GTAGAGTTTTTGTAAAAAAAAACAACTGGAAAATTGGTGAGAAGTAAGGGGTTCAGGAAGATGGTGAGTAGACGGGCAGGTCGGATGGGGAAAGCGGGCCGTAGCGGAAGAGGAAATATTGAGGGAGTGGGGGGGGGTTGTACTATGCAAAAGATTTCTCCAGCGGCAGGACGTGCTTCGATTCAGCTATACCTCGGACAAAAAAAACCATAAAGAAGGATAAAAATTTCGGCGTTGACCTGTTCCTCGCAGGAATGCATCCGCATTTTTCTTCTATTCAAAATCGCAGAGGCATTTCGAGTGCGCTTTGGTCTATGCGGTGAGTTTTTGAACTAGGGGAAGCACAAAGCAGTGGCTTCATCGCCCTGGACAAGTTTGGTTCCAATAAAAAAAACCCAGGAGAGATGGAAGCCCTCGACGGCCCGGGCGAAGATAACCCGAAGTTTGATCCCACGACGACGCGCGTGGTAAGCGACGCTACATGCCACTTGATACTACATCTGCCATAAAAAAGTAACATGAAACGTATGACAAACCAACATCTAACGTGTAAAAGATTGATAGAAGGAAGGAATGGTTCAATTATTAGGGGAAAAAACAAAAAATGTTGGTCCAACATCATCCCGAATCGAAAATGAGTCAGTAAGTCACACATAAGTGCGATCTCAAAGAGATAAGAAGCACGAACTCGTGTCAGCTGCACGCTAACTCTGCAGAAAGTGTTGCTGAGATGACTAGGCAAACATGAGTCATCACTCACCTTCACTTGAAAAACGAATGCTTGTTCAAGTTTCGCTGCCAATGCGGGAAGATCGACATCTTTGGCCATTAGAGACTGTCGAACTCGTAATGAAGATTCCTGTTCATGGACGACACTACCCAACTTATCACGAGAAAAGTACCTCATGAAGAACTACTTTCATCTCTTCGGCAATGTACTTTCGAGAAATAACAACTTCATGTTTGCGAACATCACGAATTCAACGATATAGTGCAAGTAGAGCAGTCCAGACCTGAAGACTCAAAGTGATTCGGTACAAACGCCCACAATGTGAATACCCAGGCAACCGGTGACGAGCTTATCTTGATTTACTTCTGCGTGGTGCACTTCCACCTTTCAACTTGCATCTATCTTTATGAAGAACAATAATAAGATATTTTCGGAATAATAACGATAATAATGATGAATAATAAATAATAGATAATATAATGAATGAGTTAAATAATAAGTTGGTTCCCGGTTTTGACCGGGCAGACATCCCATCGATCACTTTTCGACGCCAGTATTGACGACCTATGAAAATCCTGTAAGCGGATGAACAGATGAAGCTTACATCTGGCGACAGGATCCACACATCGGCACCGATGTATTCAAAGCAGCCGATGAAAAAAAAAAACTGCAAAAGGGCAAAATGCCCACCCCAAGCCTACAGCGCGCCCAATTTCTAAAGACAATGGTAGTTGAGGTTACGAGACCAGGCAGACATTCCACAAATAGAACAAAAACCCTGCGGTGCCACTAAAATGCACTGTTCAACGCTAGTGGTACAAAGGTAAATAAAAGGTGACCCAACAAGTCGAGAAGATTTGATAGGAATTTTCAAAAGGAAGAGTAAATAAGAATGTAATTAACCAAAACCAAAATGAAGTTATTTGTGACATTTAAACATACATAACTTAACAGAAACAAGCTTACCTTGAACAACTTGCTTACAGGTGGACATTTTCCTATAATAACGATCAAGAGCACGAACAACTATAGAGCAGTCCTTTGGATCGGACGACGCAAGAAACAAATTTGAAACAACCTCATGGAACTCAGCGAGCTGGGTCTAGAAAGAATGGATTAACAAATGAAGCCGAATTGAGCAATCTCATGCCCCAAATGAGGCTGGCTGCATAAGAGCAGAGCAAACCAAAGACTAAAGAGTAGAAACCTGCAGCATTTTGAGTAGAAGGTCAGATTCGTTCGGGAACAGACGTTCATGGAGGTTTGCCAGAAGTGTGAGATTTGGTATGAACGACTCGCATCCTCTACAGTTGCAGACGATCAAGTAAATAAAGAGAGATCTAACAAAAAAAGGCTCTCAGGAAACAACGAACTTGTCAACAAGATCCAGAACATCCACAGGATTGCTTTGAAGCTGCTCTAAATCGTTTTGCAGCGAAGTTTCGGAAGACTTCAACAACAACTCTTGGAGCTGCAAAGAGTGGGATTCAAATTCAGTCCACGAGAACTAGTACACTACTGAAAACCTCTTCTGATGTCTTTCCCAACTGCATGAGCAATCCTGTCGCCTCAACGACACCTTCCACATCTTCGGTAGATCGGCTTATTAGTTTTATCAGCTGAAAAAAAAGCTAAGGCACCTCAGTTTGAGTAAAACAAAAAGTGATACAAATCGTTTACCTGTTTTTCCGTTTCAGCGATGATCTGATCCACCTTTTTCTGAATCTCGGTAATATTCTTGATATCGGAATACTTGCTGAGACCTTTTTGGGCCAACAGATAAATCCTCACGACATCGTTATACTTGCCTTCCTCGAAAGATGCCTAAAATCTACACTAAAATGCGAAGGAAAAACACTAACAAGAACAGCATAACTACCAAAACAGAGACTATCTCAGAAATTCCACTTTGACCTACTATTCAATTAGGTGCTAGAAATGCCCTGTGCCATTGAGAAACAGATACCCGAAATATTTGCATCTAAACACTTCCTGGTTTATCCGTTTCTACGAATCTCTGTAGGTGCTGGTGTAAACACTGCCTCGTGCATTCGTGACTTAACAATGTGTTATTTAGGCCCACTCCATGGAAATGCAATTTAATTTGCTCCAAAGTCACGGGTTGCTTACCACCCGAGCCAAAGATCTTTCCTCCCCTGTGAGTTCATACCGAATACATCTGAGAAGATAAGCAATTGGCATCCACAACCGCTGGCTCTGCAGCATATTGTATGCGTCTAAAATGCCACTACGAATCTAAAGGAAAGAAGAATGAGTGGCGCATCCCAGAAACGGATTAGTTAATGTTCTGGAGCTTTATCCATATATTCTTTCCAGAAGAATGAGTGCATGGGAAGTACCCACTAAGAGCAAATATCCCATTCTTGAAATAATGCTCAAATATTAGAAATTAGGCCAAAAAATTCATAAGCTTTTTCACCACAGCGAGAGAAAAATTCGAGAAGAAGTAAGAATAAGAGAGGAGGCAAGGTGATACTCCGAAAAAAATTGCAATTCCGCGCTAGATATAGCACAGGCAGTCGCTTCAGTGCGCCATCTGTTAGGAGAAGGGTGGCGTCCGTTGATGTCATAGAACACGTTTATGACGTGTCTTAAGACGTCACTGGCAAGTATACAATACAGGATCCTTTGACACGGGAGACGGGCAAGAGAATCGTAAACTGCCGCTTCGTCGCGCGCGGCAATGGGCGCGACATCTTCCTTAATTTGCACTATCCTTTCGACTGAAGCATTAGTTCATGCAGACAATGACATGGAGACATTGATATCTATTTTTGGGTCTTACATTGTTATTCTCGACCAATACCATCTAAAATCGTCTTCTTAGGCCGCGTTCATAGCTTGCGTTCGTGAAGAAATGCAGAAATGCGGAAAATGCAGAAGTGCGGAATCTGCAGAAAAGCAATAGATACTTATCGACTTGAAGAAATGCAGAAATGCCGAAACTGCAGAAGTGCGGAAAGTGCAGAAATGACGAAAAGCATTAGGCCGCGTTCATACCGTGCGACGTCGTCGTCAACGTCGACGAAAGCTGCGTAAGTTGCGTAAGCTGCGACTGGTTCGTGAATAATACATACGTATCGATCCAACGAAAGCTGCGTAAGTTGCGTAAGCTGCGCGTAACCGACGACAGCTAACCGATCGATACGTATCTATTCTTCTCGAAGTTGTCGTCGGTTACGCAACTTACGCAGCTTACGCAACTTACGCAGCTTTCTTTGGATCGATACGTATGTATTCTTCACAAACTAGTCGCAGCTTACGCAACTTACGCAGCTTTCGTCACAGTACGGTAACTTCAGTAGGCGAACAATCGTACACCGTACCCCAAATGAGCCGTAAATAAATCTGGATGCACACCAAACACAGTATCTCACGACAACAGCGTAGAAATCGCTTGGGGAAGTAGTTGTTGCGATGCTAAGGATATCCAAAGGATTAGAACTATTGCATGTGATTAGAACGATTGCATGGAGTAGTGCTCGTAAGAACTATAGGTCCGTTGGATGCTCCAATAAATCATTTTTCTATTTATAAATGTACTTGTATAATTGGGTTTCAACGGCACTCATCAAAAATAGTCCGCGTTGGGTCAGAATTTCTCATAGCATTGCGGCGGAGTCTTTACACATTACTGAGGCATCTTGTTGAAGCATTTTCCAGATGGAAGTGTCACGACTTTCGCGAAATTGATTAAAATGGTACAACAAAATAGTTTTGCATGTTTTCTCCTTCACAGGTCACGCAATGCCCTGCTTAATGCTTGAATGCGTTGATTATGATTAATGAAAAAATGAATGCGATGCTGTGATTAATGCCTGCTTCTTTCCATGTTCAAGTAGTGGTTTCAATTAGCCACATTCTTAGACATGGTCTGATAACAGTATAGCCTCCTTGTCTTGTGTTTATCAGTGCCTGCTTGCTTCCTGTTGGTTTCCTGCGATACGAGGAATGATGACATGCATAGTTTTTTGAACAAAATACAGTAGTACGAGTACGAGATCCATACTCAGCTCTGTCATCGCCACGATGGCCATGACCCTCTCCCCCTAATCCAACTCTTCGAGGCATGGGCGTAGCCCCAAACCCTATGCTTGTATAACCAAGATAAACGGTTGGACTATTCGTCTCGTCTGCAATCTACAAAACCGCTACTGAACCGCCACAACAAGCTCTATCACAGCTTCAAAAATAAGCTCGCAGATGAAACCTCAACTACTCGAGCCATTCGAGGAGCGGTGCTGAAATGAGGAGAAAAACTTCTGCATAGTGCAACAACATTCGTTCACTAGTGTGGAAGGCGAAAACTTTCTCATTCCGATGCAGTCGTGTTGTTTTCAAAACCTAAACAGATTTTTATTCAATCGAGAATCAAGACAAAGCTACTTGGACTAGGTTGCGGTGAGCTGCGTTCATAATTCTCGTCTGCATTTGAGCGTTTCGGGCGAAAGGAACGTTAGCTATCGACCTAGGGTTTTGAAACTTATCAGCGGAATGCTAGCGTTTTGAGCAAAAACTATAGTGTATGTGTCGATGCCAGATCGATAGCCATGCTATTCTTCTCGCCCAAAACGTCCAAAAATGCTCGTACGATAGCAACCACAACACATACGTGCATTGTGCATGCAACTTCGACGCTGCTGTCGTGAGATGATGTGTTTGGTGTGCACCCAGATTTATTTACGGCTCATCTGGGGATACGGTGTACGATTGTTCGCCTACTGAAGTTACCGTACTGTTTCGTCGGATCGATACGTATGTATTCTTCACGAACTAGTCGCAACTTACGCAAAAGACGTCGCACGGTATGAACGCGGCCTTACATACGCATCGATCTGAAGAAATGCAGAAATGCCGAAAGTGAAGAAATGCGGAATCTGCAGAAATGCCGAAAGTGCGGAAAATCGATACGTATGAATTGCTTTTCGTCATTTCTGCAGATTCCGCATGTCTGCACATTCCGCACTTCTTCACTTTCGGCATTTCTGCAGATTCCGCACTTCTTCACTTTCGGCATTTCTGCAGCTTCCGAATTTTTTCACTTTCGGCATGCAGATTCCGCACTTCTACACTTTCCGCACTTCTGCATTTTCCGCATTTCTCCATTTCTTCACGAACGCAGGCTATGAACGCGGCCTTAACCGGCGCGCGACGTCGCACGCGATGCCCACTGGCGCGGCGAATTACGATTCTCTTACCACATACACTCCTTATCCCTGAGCCAGAGTAGGCGTGGCATTTGAACATGGCACGGAATTGGTTACTCGTGGAATATTCCAGTCTGGGACAACTGTCATCTTGTTCTGTGTTGGGCAGAGACACGATAATAATTGTGTCAAGATGAAAATATCTCACCAGAAGCATAAACACCTTCAGGTTAAGTTGAAACATGCGGCCACGCCTACCCGATCTCAGGGATTTCGAGTATACCCCCTTTGCCACTAACATGTTAAGTAACCCGCCATCTCATCAAAGTGCTGCAGGACACGTTATATTCCTATTATCCACAGGTAAAGCACCTGTGCCACACCTGTTCCCCTGACTACCGTCGTTTTCGCTGCAGATGGGGGTGTCAGTGGGCTGTTTGGCGCAGCGGCAGTCCGTTCTCCAACAATTGTTAAAAAGGGTATCGACTGTGGAACTGGCTGGTGTCACCAAACCCACCCATACAAGCAGACAAACCTGAAGAATGTTAGGCAGATCGAAGAGAGACTGCAAACTCTTCACGACTTTATAGGAGCTTCCCAGTTGTGCCACACCTTCTCGTCCTCCTCCAAGGACACCACTTAATTCGCCAATCAAACCAGAAATATTTTTCATATTTCTACTTAGAGATTCCATTTCCTAAACAATAAAACTGTAAAATAAATTAACAATTTCAAGACAAATCTTCGGAACTGATGGGCTCACACTGTCCAGAAGGTTGAATTCGTCTTGAATCTTTCTCACAGTGCTCGTCGCTGTCAAGAATTTGTTGTAGTTTTCGTAGACTAGTTGGTGAACATCAGAGTCTAAGCGCCTGACCTTTAATGGGGAACGTTTTAGTCCGGGGTAGGCAATTCGGGAATACACAACTTACTGAGGAAACCATTTCTTCTTCCTCCTTGACGAGTTCATCAAGGTTCTTCTCCTTGAGCTGTGAGCTCAAATATGCGTCCACATCAAAATCCGCTGAAGTGACATCCAAAACGCCAACTTTATGTGACATTTGGGTGGTAGGGGATCCTTTGGACGAAAAGTTCCAGAATCAGCAGTTAACAGATAAGCGGTATTCCATTGTGCCACTGTTTAGTACTATGACGAAAGTCGATGAAGTTTTTTTTGAGAATTTCGAAGAGCTTTGAATGTTCTGCAATGCACTTGGAACATCGGATTTCTCGCCAAGTCACAAACAAACAAGCGGACGTTTGAGATGTCCAAGCTTTAAAAGTTTCTTCGTTTTACTTATCATCTGGAGAGAGTAATTTGGATTATTCCAACATAGTAGGCATTTTGGCGTGGAGCAGCCAGACACTGAGAACCAGTACAAATCCCTTTTCAGAGCAAAAGTTCGGAGGAGCTTGGAATGGACCACTCATCAGCGTCTCGGTACCCCTCACTCCAAACAAGGGTTTGTATATGTGGAGGCTATGTCTTCTGTAGTTCTTAGACTCTGGTCATCTGCGCTCTAAGTCTGAGCCTACTGAGGAAGGAATACAGATGCGGCGGAGTGGTCCCTCCTCCCAAGTACGTTAGCGGCCTCATGTGGTCTCGAATAAGCTATTGTTTGCACGAAGGAATCCAGAAATGGCACCGAACGAGGCTCATTTCGGGGGCTTTAAAATCTCACTGAGCAAGCTTCAGTTATCGTAGTCCGATGAACTATTGCACACCAATGCACCAATTACCGCGCTATATTGGAATAGGGCCGAGTACTGAGTTCATTCAGTAGTTTTTCGCCTTGTACATATCTAGCTCTAGCATGGAACCACTTGTGTAGGGCGGTTAAAAAGTTTAATAAGATCGCGTATGATGTAATGCACCGGCATGTAGCTTTGAGTCACCGTAAGGCCTCGAGTGAAGGCAGGGCATGAAAGTCCTGGTATTTTGGGTTAATTTTCCAGCAATGAAGAACTCCCCAACCACAGCAGTGATTTTTACCACAAATTCTGTGGGTTTTTTTGTAGTCGAGTTACCTCCATTATTAGTGCCACCCTTGAACTAAAGGGGGAGGTCGAGGGTGCATCCTGACTTTATGAACCAAAGTTTTGTTCTGAGCGGAAAAAATGGAGAAAAGGTTCTAGGACCGATGCTGCCTAGTCCCCGTCACCTGCAGAACAAATATTTGAAATTTGAAGAGCAGCGGAATCGTACTATACGGGCGCCGTTTGAAAGAGCGGACCCGCGGCACTTTCGCAGTTTCCCGCCCTCGCTCTTATCGTCCTATTCCGCGCGACCACCCATTGCTTTCCCTGTAGGCTTTTGAAACGGGTATCATTGATTTGCTTCTATATTACCAGTTTTGAGTAAGCACGCCTTTGAATGAAATGGATTTCAATGGAAATCTTTAATCTTTTGAGAATCCCCATTCTTGAAACTCCACCATACTACCCTCTGCACATAACAGACCTACCTAATTGGAAGCCCCGCTCCAGATAGCAACGCCCCACATAACTATTTGATGAGAGGAGGAAAATCATCGCAGTCCATGAGAATTATTAACCAGTATGGTCAAGTGAACTTCTAAAATGATTTCGCTTTCTTTCTAGCCATCTCGTGGAATCGCTACTCGTTACCGGCAAGCCTCCCACCGAGTTTCCAGAGCGATATCTAAACGGGGGTGAAGGGTAAACTTTATCGAGGAAAAGCCCCTAACAGGGGCAGTCTTTTAACCCAAATCTTGTAACAAGTACTTCTTTGCAGTTAGCCTGCCTCCATTGCCTCCATTACTAGTATTAACTGGGGGTTACATCTTGACGTATCAGTCGCGCGATTCTTTTTCTAAGGCGCAAAAGGTGGCCAACAAGTAGAAACACTAAGGAATTTTCGCTATGAAAGTTGGAGTCAGAAATGTCGGTCTCATTTGTCTCAATTCAGACGAACCACTTTATTCCGTCTATCCCCGACATTTTAGAAGGAATGTCAGTAGTCCCCGTTCTGCACGCCAAATATAAATTTGAAGAGTCAGAAGAATTGTATTCGGGCGCCAAAGCGGGCCGCGGCGTTTCGAAGTTTCCCGCCCCCTCCCGGCCGCTTGCCCGCCCTGCTTGTCCTCATTTGCGCGGGACCACCCAATTGCTTTTCCGTAGGTTTTTGAACTGGTTCTCTTTGGTTTATTTTTAAACTACATGTTTTGAAATACCACCGTTCGGCTAGAATTAATTTGAATTTGGATTGAAGGAGGAAATAGCTGCAATTGACGTGCTTAACTCCATCTCTTGTTTGTCCCTTTTATTTGTTGGACCGTAGATCAAAATCGAATGGTAACCAGTTAGATCAACAACATAACAATAATAACGAATGGTGTGTGTGTTTCGGCCACAGATAGTAATTTGTGATAGCTTTACTAGGACTGTAACCTTAGCTATTTACTTTCTTTTAGGTTGAAAGCCTCATTATTCGATAGGCGTAAGTTCAGTTGCTCATATCGCTATTAGTCGTATTTGTAAGACGAGCTCTCCTTTGAATATGCAGATACTCGAGGTGGTCCCTTGAGACGGACGAACTTGTTAGCAGAGTCGCTTTCGGCGTCCAAGAAGGCCATCTGACCGCCTTTTGTTGGCGATTAAGGAGAGGAGGCATTTGAAAAGAAACCTTGTGGGAACAGGGATTCCGGTGACATTGGAGACTGGCTTCTAACTAAAGGGAGGTAGTGGGAAGGTGAAGCCAATTTCACTCGTAATCATCACCGGTCATTCTTCTTAGGGTAACTTCTTTGCATGATAGGTACTTTAAATGCCCCCACCTAAGGTTGACTCTGCTTTACATCTGTTTGTTTAGAGAAAGCTTCAACAACTGTCTCGGGTTAAATGGATGGAGCTGAAATTGGAGAAGGTCCGTAAGGGGGCTAATATCAAGGCCAGCAGTACATTTTGAGGTTCTTATCGGCTTTTCTATACATGATCTACACATGATTTCTGGTAAACCTAACCGGTACCACTGTAAATATTGTGTGCGGAACAGAGATTATTCAAATAGGCCAGGATAAATTACAGTGTCTATATTTGAGGATCGGAAATCTCTTGCCGAACCCTTCGTGGGTAAAATGACCTTGTTCAAGCCATTAGACGAAAGCATCTCGCTCGGCAGACTTCGCCGATCGGCTCGTCGATGCTATCTGGGGCGCTCCACCACCAAACGATGCATCACCGCAACGGCATGATTCGATTTGTCTCTGTGCGAACGCGGTTCACTTTGAATTCTGCCAATTGCGCGACGCTGGCAGCTGAGGACCCACGGTCTTGGTAGGGCAATCCAATCGAGAGATACGGTCACGAACTCTGAACGCGGTCTTAGAAATGGTGAGTTGTGCGGCTCCTATACTAATGACCGAATAGTCTAGGACGAAAAAGCGGACAAAACCGTCGAAATGCTTCATAGAACCCATGCTGGAACGTTAGGTGCATATGGCGAAGAGCGGGCGGATAAGTTCTCGCTTATTAGCATTGTAACGGCAACAGTTTTTTTTTCCACTGTCACCGGAGCCTGTGGTGCGGGCGCCGGGCACTTTTAGGCCGAGCGGGTGTGATATTCTTGCTCAAGAGGTCAAATTAGGGACGAATTTGCAACGGATTGAGTAATTAAGGGTTCTTAGTTTGTGCCACCTCCCGAGTTTCAGTAAAGTTGCCTGGTTCAACCAGAAAAAGTTGGTCAGGACAAGTGCCCTTTTTCGGGAGATTGGGGTGGTGATAGTTGAGTAGTGCCAGTTTATCTTCTGTTGTGTTTCTAGAATTTGCCTATTCGAAAAAAGTGTTCGTCATTGTCCTTTTTCAGGTGTCTCACGCAGCTGACGTAAGGACTGACGACGAAGTTCTGGCTTATGCACATGAGGTTTGTAATGTTCCAGTTGATTACGCTGTGCTGTGTTATCTCTTTGAGAGGAAATTTTTAGATCCCTCCACCCGATGAAGGTTTCCTCCATGTTTGTACGGCGATTGATCCTAATATGTCTGACGATCTGAAGGATAATGTGTGGACCCAAGTGTGCATGATGATCGAGAAGGTCGATTTAGATGTGAGTTCATCGATCAAACATTGTCTGGGACGTGGGCCTAAGTCCCTTTTCATGTGTTCAGTGATTTCTATCTACTTTTCTTCAAACGTAACAGT